CGCGAGGGAGGGGCGCTCCCGACGAGGGGCGGCCGCAGGGGGTGGCATTGGCCAACGCGTCCTTCGGGCCCTGGAAACCGGCACGGATGACGATCCACGCTCGCCGCCTTCCTCTTCCTACCTTGGCCTCGCGGCCGCTGTAGGGTCTTCAATGCCACAAACGTGGACGGACATGAGAGAGCAGGGGAGAAAAACGCCCCAATCCTCAAGTATCTGCAATGCTTCAAATCTTCCCCTGAAAGAGGCCTCCACTGTACCACTATTCTTTGAGTGGTATTTCAGGTGAACTGTGCTATTAGAAATAGAATAGCTTGCTCTTAGAACAACTGAAAATAACAAATTTAAAAGGTTTTTTTTCTTTCTGAGAAACACTAAATACTAGTAGTAACAACTGTTATAAGAAAACACAGTTAACCGCTAGAAATGAATGACAACACTGCAAATGTTAAAAAAATTATATTGTAAGTACAGTACAAAAAAGTTTCTTTATATAATTGTAATCTGGATCAAACGGCAAGGAAATAACAAAAATATAAAAACTGCTAAGTCTTGCCAAAGTTTTCCCTCTAGTACCAAATACTACAAGATACAGATTATACAAAGTGTACAAATTTTAAATAAAAATACAATACACCAGGGTTGTGTGTGTTTTCAAACTCTTCAAGAGTTTTCCATTGTACAGATGACAAAGTTAGAACTGATACCCTTCCGTTCCTTACACATCTGCCCCTTTACCACAGTGCTTGGTTGTAAAGGGCTGGGAAGAGCCAGCTATTTTTGTGCCACTCCCAGCAGCAGATGCTTTAGTAGGGTCCAGAGTCACAAACTGAGTTAGACTGCCTCCCTCTCAGGCCTCTTCCCAATTCCAAAATCTCTGGGATTAGTCATATATTGTCAAAACATGTCTTCTCTGGTCCAAGGCTTCAGATAAGAACACACATGACCGTCTGAGAACCTTCTGCTTCATCTACTAACACAGTGAGAAAATGTAACATTGAACTGAGAAAAGCTCTGTGACAGACAGACTGCCTTGCAGTGGCACAGCTGGGGAATTCATGGTAAAGAAAAATGGAGAGAAAAACTCTCCTGCACACCTGTGGATTTAATTTAAATATGATTTGGGAATCAGCCATAATGAGGGGCAGCTCACTTTCCACTGCCCTGAGAAACTACACTTCAAATTGGAAGTAGCCCAAAAGTACTCTTCTATCATTTTTAAAATTTTTGTGATGTAAGGACTGGAGATGCAGGGGTTAGATTAAAAAGCCTTGTATTTCAGCTTCTACCCAGCTTCATAAGATAGTCTGTTTCTTACAAGCAGTTAACATCTTGCTGTTGTTGTTCCATCCAGAGCTGATACCTGCTGCTGCACGTTTAGCTGATGCCTGCAGGAAGTGACTGAGGCACAGCTTATTCATATTTTCCAAACACTTGGTGGAGGGAGGGATTTTTGCCTTTAAATTATACATATATATATATACACACACACACACACACAAACACACACGCACACATACAGAAATATACAGGATAAATTAAAATCTGTTACAGATATTGGTAAAAGTTAAATACACATGATATGAACACCACATACACATACATACAGACACACAGAGGCCTATATGAGAATCAAGTGCTTTCCTGCATCTCCTTTTCTAGAGGAGCAGAAAACCAAATACCATGTATGTAGCTGGAAGGGGAATTCCTCACTCACTACTGCTTCAAACTGGTCATTAGTTTGAAGTCTCACAGCAGCACCATGGCTCTTTCAATACTGCTGGTAAAAGGGGTGGGATTAGTGATCTCAGAAACTCAAGTTTGTATCAGGAGGTCATCTTGTCCACCTCTGCTTAAAGAAAGTTTGACTACAGCAGGCTGCTCAGACAATTTTTGAATATCATCAAGAATGGAGATTCCACATCCTTACTGGTTCTACTAACCACTTTTACAGTCTTTTTTTTTTTTTAAGTATATCTAGAAGTCAATCCTCTGGCTGCCTTCCCCACCAGCATTTGAATTTAAGACTAGTTTCTCAAAAGCTTTCTGAATTCTTCATAAAGATACTTTGAGATGGTGTTAATTTCACCCACTGATAGAAAAGGGCACTCTCAGCTTAACTTCACAACTTTTCATAAAATTAATAGAAGTCAAATTGTTACAATCCTATGTATATACTATACAGGTATAAAATGTTAAAACCCTACACCCAGAGCCCTTCGAGAGTGTCGGCATGGTGCATATGCACACAAGTCACTTATGCAGAGGCTGAGCACATCCCGGGATCACTTCCTGTCAAAGTCCAGGCATGATGTAGGCGATGTTGTCTAGTGTGTTTGACTGGGGAAAGAAATTCAGTATTGTTTAACATCAGATAATGACTCAAAATCCTTGAGAAATGATGCAGATAAGGAAACTTATTAACTAACATTTTCATTGTCTCAAAAGTTATCATATGAGGAGGCTTAAGCAAATCTCATTATCACCACTGCTAGGCTAATTTGCACATTCTTGGAAATATGAGTAGATTAAACACAAGGTAGCCTCAGTATTTGGAAGCAACTATGAATCAGAAATTGCTTACAACTTTCCTCAAGTGACTTCCTCCTCAAGAACTTCATTTTCTTTGAATTTTGAGCAAGCCACATTAGCTCAATCATAGCAACCACTGGGAAGACTTGTAATTAATGTCTTGAGCAAAATGATCAGAATAGTAGAATATACATTAGAAAAATGATTCTACATACACAATCATTTATGAAATTCTGCAATGTAAAAATTCAGAGAAAAAGCCTCAAACACATCTCCTAATAGTGTATCAAATGGCTGAATGTAAGTGCTCTCCAGTTTTCCCTTCAAATCTTAAAATTATGAAAGACTCCTCCCCATGCATATCAGAAAACAAGACCCAGCAGTATTATCTGCATGTTCTTCAAATGCAACCTCAAACCTGTGACTAGATGGCTGAAAAAAACCCTAGTACTTGCCTTTATCCAGAGGAGCTGGATGTGTACCAAATGTGATTCCAGAATTAAGCAATGCCACCTACTGACTGGAAAGATAAACTGCATGCTAAATGCAGCACTAGCACTGAAAACTTGATCTTTGTTTTAAACCTGGGTATCTTTACATTTCTGATGGTAGAAATGAGAATAATTTTTTATCCAGTCTAAACACCACTTCTGAGAAGTGAATGGTTCACCAAAAGTTCTAGCGCTCCTTATAATAATACAATGGTCATGTTACCAAGATACGCACCATTAGTCATATGGAAAAGGGGTGTCACTGCTTTGAATATGTTTGGCAAGCAAGAAGGAAAAAAATTATAGGATGTTTTCCATGGCTTATGATGGAAACGCCCTGCTGACTCAGCTTTTGTATAGACAGCCACTTTGTGGGAGCTCACAGTTTGAGCCGTCAACGTTTTTGCTGTTAATAATCCCTTCTCAGCACAAAATCCATGTTTGGGCTGTCTCATAAAACATGCCAATTCATATCCTATTTTATCATTCTCTCTGTTCAGTTCATTTGTAATCTCTAACTCAGTGTATTTTTGCAGACTGTATGTTCTTCTTCTTGCTTTGCCTCCTCCCTGAACCCATTCTCTGCTTTATTCATGGCTCCTGTTGGAGATATTGACTCCTGCTCCTTTTTGTGCTGTTGCCATGTTACTCTGTGCCCACATCATGCAACGCTGATGCTGTGAGCCATTACTGAATCAGGTCTCAATGAAAAAAGAAGAACTTGTAGGTGTTATCTACTTCCTTAAAAGGGAGACGATCTTCCTTTTCTTGGAGAAGGTTAGAGCCATATTAAAACTCAATGACATTAGGAATCCTAATTAAGATAGCAAGTCAGCATTTATGCTGCTTAAAAAAGTGGCATACAGAACACCATAAAGGGGCTTTTTAATTCTTATGCCAATTTTCAAAAATAGTAGCATGTGTATTGGTGCTTTATTTGGATGAGACAGATCCAAATAGATTGATTAATAGATAGATTAATTAAATAACCTATATGCATTTCATTCAACAGAACAAATGTTACATCAGTTTCCCTGTAAGCTTTAAATTGTGTGTCTTTACAGGAAAGACTGTACAGCAGTAACATCTTGAAAGAATTTTATGAAATATCCCTCTAAAAGTTAAATGAGCAAGATAATTTTCTTATCTTTGTTGCACTGAAATTATAACCACATAAGAAGTGATTTACCAGAAAATTCCAGATGAACTCCACTGAAATTAACAAATCTCAAACAGAAATAACCATAAAGAACTCACCAAAACTTGCTTAGGGCAGCCATTCAACTCAGGCAGTTGTGTTGTCAGACAGGCCAATGGGCCCAAAGCACAGATGATTGAATCTAGAAGTACAGATAAACTTCCTGAAACAGCCACCATTCCCTGGAAGTAAAGAAAGAAAAAAACTAGATTGGGACAAGTAGGGGAAATCACAGTCCTCTTACAACTGTATTCTTGTGCAGTTAATACAGTTTCAAGTTTGTGGCCATCCAGTTTATTATTTACACAGCAACAAAACTTTACTAAGCACTTCACATACAGAGATTGCTGATTCAAAAAATTTAAGAGTTCAATAGGCAATAAGCATACACAAAAGTAGTGAATATCAGAAAACAAAGTCAGTCAGTTGTGTAAAACATTTAATTTCACTATTTTGCCACTTCTTACCATCTATTTACTATGTAAGCCCTAAAAGCAGTAACTATGTTGACAGTTTTTTTTTTTCAAAGACTAAAGAAATGCTAAGGATGTGGAAAATTCAGAGAGGCCTAGATAGGCTGGAGAGTTGAGCAGAGAAGAACCTCATAAGGTTCAACAAGAACAAGTGCAGAGCCCTGCACCTGGGAGGAATAACCCCAGGCACCAGTACAGATTAGGGGTTGGCCTGCTGGAAAGCAGCTCTGCAGAGAGGGATTTGGGAGTCCTGGTTGACAACAGGTTAACCATGAGGCAGCAGTGTGCCCTCGTGGCCAAGAAGGCCAATGGGATCCTGGCCTGCATCAAGAGGAGCATTGCCTGCAGGTTGAGGGAAGGGATCCTGCCCCTCTACTCAGCTCTGGTGAGGCCACGCCTGGAGTAGTGGGTGCAGTTCTGGGCTCCGAAAGACGAGAGGGACGTGGAGCTTCTAGAGAGGGTCCAGCATAGAGCCACAGAGATGATTAAGGCACTGGAGCATCTATCTTATGAGGAAAGACTAAGCGAGCTGGGCCTGTTTAGTCTGGAGAAGAGAAGGCTGAGAAGAGATTTGATCAACATGTTCAAGTACTTGAGGGGTGATTGTAGGGAGGATAGGGCCAGGCTCTTCTGCGAGGTGGCTAATGACAGGACGAGGGGTAATGGGTGTAAGTTAAAACATAGGAAGTTTAATCTCCATATGAGGAAGAACTTCTTTACTGTGAGGGTGACAAAGCCCTGGAGCAGGCTGCCCAGAGAGGTTGTGGAGTCTCCTTCTCTGGAGATCTTCCAAACCCACCCTAGATGCCACCCTGTGCCACGTGCTTTAGGTGTCCCTGCTTGAGCAGGGGGTTTGGACCAGATAATCTCTAGAGGTCCCTTCCGATCTCAACCATTCTGTGATTCTGTGAAAATGCTTTAGTAATTAATATACTTCTAGGAAAAGGACTTTTTGCATGCTTTTTTGTCATGGGGGGATTTTTACTACAGAGTAGTTCCTCTGAAGAATAACCTCAATGAAGTAATACCAGAAACAAAATATAAGCACATTTATTTTTCTGCTGATAAAAAAAGCAAAGTGGGATGATTATGCTACCATTAAAATAATTCATATTTAATATTTGAGCTAAATATTTGTTCTCCTTAAAGGCCGAGCCAATTTCTGAAAATAACTGTGTGTGTGCGTGCGCACATGCATCCCCAAGTGTGTAACCACTATCAGTTAACTGTAGAAAATGATTAGAATAGTGCATCTTCTATGTTACCAGGTAAGTTGAAACATTAGTAGCTCCTGCCCAAAGCACTGGCAACAGCATACTGCTAGAGAGCAGCAGCACATCTGAAAACTACATCTTAATAATGGCTTTCTCTGGTAGTTTTCTCAGAAGGCTTGAGATGGTAACAGAAACGGTATCAGACACTGGCAAAAGCAGAAAAGGAATAGTACATTCAAGGTAAACATACTAAGAAAAGATTGAAGAGTTTGTTCATTAAGCATTGCTTTTAAGGACCTAGAGCTGCTAGCCAGGGACCTGTCTTTGATATCTACTGCATATTTCACTGAAAATGAACAGAAATAAATCAAAGAAACAGGATGCTCCATCTTTCCCTTCCTAATGCAAAAATATCAGCTAGCCTTTTAAGTAAGTTAAAATTATAATAATAAAAAAAAACAATCCTATGTATGGATTACATGAAATCCTTGAGACATTACTGGTTCCAACCTCACCTCTGTTTCCTGTAGCCTGTGACCAATGAGGCTGAGAGATTCACCCAGCAACTGCAAGTGCGCAGCGACATCAATAGGATCCGTGTCGGGAACTTTGGCTGGCGAAGCAGGCACCACCATGGTGCTGGTGGGGGACTTCTTATGAGGGGAAAGCGCACCTGTTGGAGAAGCTGGAAATACACCAATTTAAATTCCACATTGTCTTCTCTCATTCTGTTACTTACAAATCAATTCACTTCATAAAGGTCAAATCTCAAAAGCATCAGATGCTAAAATACTTCTGTGGACTCCTTCTTTGGAGTCAACTTCCCTTCCACATGTGAAAAGCATCTACCCCAGCTGAGTGCAGTTTCACAGGTCGGGGAGACTTGGTAAACAGCAATGCCAAAATAAGCACAACGATTTTTTTTGTCTTGCAGCATGTTAGTCCCACCTCAAGTTCTCTGCTGCCTCTTCTTGTTTCATGTTTCAATTCCTGAGGTGCTAAAAATCTCTGTTCTTCTAATTAGCATAAAACATGGAAGTTTTTTTTAATTGTCTGATTTTTTTTTGAATAAAGCATGTTTTTTTGAATAAAGCATAAAAAAAATTGCCAAGACTTGTAAGAAAGCAAGAAAGGCCCTCTGTTCTTTATTTCACAGGCAACGCTATCTCCCTTAAACAAAAAAAGGCTTGAACAAACATGGCACAACAATTACCTTTTATTTTTGGTGCACCATCTGAAGATGATGCCTTCCTCTTCACAGTGGTGGCCTCTGCTTTATTCTGTTTGTGCTGCAGGTACTGAGCTTTCTGTTTCCAGATCTGCAGTTACCACAGTATGAAAAGAGAGATTCATAACATCAGGTAATTCTGTAACCTGATGCCAGAACCTGGAGGTAGAATGATTTTATGCAGCTAATTGGTTGAACAATGCCATGAGGGTAAAACAGATGGTTTTATAACCACATAGGCAAGGTTACCTATTTTTCAGTACTTTAGGGACAACGGCATGTTCTAGCCTATGTATCTAGGTAAGATAAATCATTTTACAAAAACATCTCAGACAGACTTACCAGTTTATCCTTATCAGGTAGCTGCTTCCATACTTCTGCCAGTTTTTTGCTCAGCTCTCCAAAATCTGGCAGAAGAGGAGAAAAATGCTTAATATGCATGAAATAATAAAATCAAGGACAGAATCTACAAATTATAGAATGTTGACAATGGAATAATTGGCCTATGCACACACATTTATGAAGCAAACTGTTCTACATCAGTAACGCTCTGTCTGCCCAGGAAGTTATTTCCAGTGCGTCTTTCCTTACCGAGTAAAATGAGAAAAGCCAATACATGGGATATAAGATACATGAATATACGGAAAAGTGATGCAATGAACCTGCAGAGATAGATCTGCAATTAAATGACAGCGAGAGTTGGCAATTCTTTTATCTAGATTCACGGCTTGGTTAAAATACAACGAAATCAAACAATGAAATCAATTCCTGTTCTCTTTGCTGTCTCTAATTCCTATCCTCTTTGTTGTCTCTTATTCGAAGGAAAATGGCATTCTTCACACTCAAAACTAAGAGTTTGGTATGACACAGAGAAGGTATGTCCTGATAAATAATCTGATAGATGTATAATCAACAGAAGACAAGGACAGATTATTCTCTCACCTATCCCAGGGTGATCAGACACAATAGTTGTACGATATTCCTTACAGAATACTTGATAGGCAGACATGTTCTTCTTCTTTGGCTAAGGAAGGAAACAAACATTTTTAATTACAATGAGACCTACTTGAATTAATAATAAATAGCCATTTATTGAAGTCTTAGAAAAAGATACTATGCCTAGATCAGGTACCTAGTGTTTTAGGTGGCCTAGCTGAATTTAGTAGCTATGAAAGCACAAAAACCAGCCAGAACCAGTCTTAATATGAGGCTTATCTTGCAACGACTCTTAGCAATGCATTTTATTCATAACTCACAACTTAGTATTCTAAATTCAGGATCTACATACAACATCATTAATATATCTCAGTTCTAAAACTTAAATAAAAAATCTCTTACGCTATTCACAGTACCTATCATAGATCTGTCAAACAAATTCAGTCCCCATTCTAACGTTTTGTGTCATTCCTTGCACGCCTACAAAACAGGTCATAGTGGCAAGAAAGTAGCCGCTTAGAAGCATAGCGATAGCAGAGCCATAAGCAGCTGTCAAGCTGGTTTTGTAAGTACAGGACAAAATCGGAAATATGGTAGTCTGTAGTACAAATGGGAAAGTATCTTCATACATCACTGTAGAATCACATTCTTTTTTACAAAAATTATCATGATGGACCAGTTTACTACTAGCCTTGTCCAAACTCCTGTCTGGCAATAGCTACAGTGAGTTACCTTAGAAAATAATATAGCTGTTTAATAATGCATGCCAAGCAAATTAAGCATAATCTTTTCAAAGGACCTCAGTCAGCTAAAGACTGCCACAAAGAATATATATTTATATGATTTTTGTTACAAAAAGAAATTAAAATAGCTGAAAGATTTTTGCCAAACATGCTGCAAAAAAGCCATGATTGCTGACAATTATTTTTCTTCATGTTAATATAACATGATTCTGTTATGGAAAGGGCACACTTGACACAGTAGAATCATTTTCACAATAGTGGAAGTTAGAAACATTTTTAAACAGAAGATAAAAACAAGGTAATTTTGTCTTAGGCAGGTCTTAGTAGGCCAACTGTTATTGCTGAAAGAAATTAAATTTCTGTGCACATATGCTGGATTTTCACATCTAGTAGTTAGCCTAATAAATTGTATCATTTCTACCATTAAGCTGTCATAACCCTCTAAACACTGTGGTTTCTGCAATCTACTTCTTTGAAAAAAATAGTTTCTGGAATAATGGTAACTAATTCCTTGATGACTTCTGCAATACTGAGCGCCTAACTTATCGCTACCCAACTTCAAATTTTCTGGGTATCTCAATTTCTATCTTCACTCCTATTTTTCCTTACTTTGTCTTTTTCTCTTTCTCCTTCTCCTTCTCCTTTTCTTTTTCCTTTTCTTTCTCCTTCTCCTTCTCCTTTTCTTTTTCCTTTTCTTTCTCCTTCTCCTTTTCTTTCTCCTTTTCTTTTTCCTTCTCCTTGTCCTTTTCCTTCTCCTTCTCCCTTTCCTTTTCTTTCTCCTTCTCCTTTTCTTTCTCCCATTTCTCTGCTCTTTCTTTTTCCTTCTCTTCTTTTCTCCTCCTCTTCTCACCCTGTCCATCTGAGTGAAAAACAGGAGGAGGTGGAGGAAGAACATAAGGAGAACTGGTAGGAGGTGGTGGTGGTGACACTGTAGTTTCTGCCACAGGGTGTCCAGAACTCCTCCTAGATTTAGAGTGCTTCTTCTCTCTGTGTTTCTCCTTATCTTTTTTCTTCTTACTTTTTTTTGACTTCTTCTTCTTCTTGATTTCCCGGTAGGAGTCATCTATCACTAGCTCTCCTGCCTCTAACTCACCACCAGAAGATGAACCAGATTCTGGTGGTGCTTCCAGTCCTGAAGCATCATATTCACTTCCACGGCCCTCTGAAAGAAGGGAGGTGTCAGCACCACTACCCTCGGAAGATGGATGTGTGTCTGGAGGTGGCTTGTGCTTCTTCCGGGCTGACTTCAGGAAACTCTGCAGCTCGTGACCCAGAACCAATGAGCCTTGCTCATCTCGAGCTGATTTCTTTGAAGATTTCTTTACAGTTGCTGGTGATGAAGAGTAGGGTAAAGACTCATTGTCTGCTGCACTGCTTCCTTTCTCCTTTGGTGAAAGGATGAGCTTCATCTTCAAGCCATCAGGTTCCCGGAGAGTAAGTGTCTCTGTGTTCACATAGAGAGGTTTCATTTTTTTAGATTTGTGGTAGCTGCCATCATCCACTGAGTGCTCCCCGCTGCTTCCACTCAACTTCTTCTTGTGATGCTCCTTTCTGCATTCAGAATGGCCAGAGGAAGAATGAGATGATGGTTTTTCAGAGGTTTTCTTTGAAGACTTTGAGCTGGTGGCCAAAGGTGAAGTGATAGCTTTGAGTAGATCCATGTTTTTATCAGCAGAGGGTGGGCTGGAAACTGCTTTTTTCTTCTTCTTTGATGGTAGATCCAAAGGCGAAAGATCTGAAATAGATCAACAGAAGTGTGTATTAAGGTAATTCCCTTAAAGACAGCATTATACCAGCTTAAGAAGGGAAGTGGGAATCCTGCAATAGTTATGATTACAGCTAACTGATCTGCATCCTGGCTTGAGGATAAACTTATGAAACTTATTACCACCTCGGGGTATTTTTGAGGATACAATTCAAAAACTGTAAGGAAGAGAGACAGACTATGCAAGTTCCTGGAGTTTTGTCTGACTCATTTTTCTATCATGAAATAGCACATTTTGACGAGAATAAACCCTCTGAGTCTGACATACCACATCTCAAGTGAAAAGTTTTCTTGTTACTTTTAGTCAAGGAGAGACCAATGAACTGCAAACACAGGCTTTTTCATTTTGAAACCAAATATTGGATAAAATTTCAACTTGTAATGACATTCTAAAAGACGTGGTTTTCTTTTTGCTTTAGGACAAAAATAAATCTTAAACCTTTTAAGACATTATGAACCTAATGGTCATTTTCTGGTTTACTTATTAACTATGAGAATAATGTCATTGTATTGAAACCAAACCACAAGTTTGGTTTGTGCTTTGACACACTGTATTTCTACAAATTCTGAGAAGCAAATATTATTATCTGCAATTGAAATCAGAGCTTGTATTACACAGGGAAAGAAAGAAATACAAAAGCCACAAGTGCTTCCATTAGAAGACTGCAACGTGATAACAAGAAGAGGGATGGAAGCTGCATATCCCCAACAATGCGCTTCCTAAGCTAAAAGCTCAAACATCAGTCCTTATCTCTTGCTGTGTGGTGCAGTATCCTGATCAGGTTTCTGGTAAGTCGTCCTAAGACAGGTTGGTATATTCTCCACCCTGAAAGGCCGCAAATTTGATGACACTGGTTGATGAGTTCCCTTTCCCCAGAGTCATGACCAGTTAGCCCCTTCCCTTGTCCCATCACCACCTTACCTCTGTAGTTGAACTCATCGGAGGAGTGCTTTCGCTTCTTCTTGTGAGGTTCTGTCCCCAGAAAAACAAGTTTGCCGTCCTACAAAAAGAGCAGAGAAGTTGCTGAACAAACAAGAGAGAAACTGTAAGAGATTCATATGGACTACTGACATAGAAAATAAGAGTTATCAGAGTTATTGGTTCTACTGTAATGACAAGGAATGCTAGTCATAGACCAGGATCCTTATTCTAGGTGCTATGCAAACAGAGGAAACATTCTTTGTCCCCAAAGAGCCCGAAGTGTAGATATAAGGCAAGAGACAAGAAGCAGCATATGGATAGAGTACAAAAACAGTATTAGTCAGCATGGTTTCAGCACATCAGCCACCTCACTGGCATCAAGCTTTCTGTAGACATTGTAGCAAAATAGGAGTACAAAAAGGAAACTGAAAGAAGACAGATCTCTATAGGGAGCTCTTCCAAATTGCAAGGATCAATACAGGAAAAAATGTGGAAGAGCACATTTGGAAGTGTTAAGAAATGGGCAATGGAAGCCAGCATTTGGAGATCAGCTGATGAGTTGATCAAAGACAAAAGTCTACATATTATTATGGCTAAGAGTTATCTAAACATGCATAGGCTGTCAAGCCTTAAACATGAAGGTGAGTAGTTCATATTTAATATGCTGGAGAAAATAAGTGAAAAGAAGCATAGGGAGGTGACAAGGAAAATTATGGGCTGGAAAATTGACCTCCATATCTCAAGTCACCCAATTATAACTTGTTGCTTGACCAATTTAAAGTCTGAAAATGAAGCTCCTCTGCAGAATTTCATCTGCATGGTAGAAGATTTTCATTTACACTACAACTTTTTTTCCTCACATTTAAAAAATTAAAAAAAAATCACAAGATAGTCATCTTTGAGCTGACAGCAGAAATTTTAGCTCAAAGAGGAAAGTTTTGAAGAAACTTAAGTTGTCGCTACATGATTTCAGTGTTAAGGCCCCAAAGAGATGAATAGGGCAAGTGCATACCTCTCAAGAGCTATCGTTTCAGGCTGTCTGCAGAATCAGGAAGACAACAGTGCATCAGTTAATATTTTATTCATCCTTTGTGGGCTATTTATACTACTGTAAATTCTAAAAATCTTATTTTTGTGTGTAAACTCATTCATGCAATCTCACGATTTGCAAGGTTCTGCAGCAAGGCAAGGATAAGATCCCACTACCCTATTTTCTGAGGCCAGAAAAATCAAACTCGGTTGTACCTGGGATTGGCCCATTTCTTTCCCCCCAGAAATGCTACTGAACAATAAAGGACACTTAATTAGCTGCTCTTGCTATCTTCTAAAGGAACTTCTACATAGAAAAACCCAACAAACATTCCCCTCCCATCCCATCCAATCCCATCAGTAACTTTATACACATCCTTACACTTTTAACCTTTCCTCTGAGAGCTTCCTGACCTGAGCTGCTATCTCCTTCTCCTCTTGCAGTAGATCCTCATAAGAGTGTTTTCTCTCTCGCTGTGTCCTGCCAGCTGCCAGCCTCACGTCATCAACACTTCGGCCGCTCTCTAGGAACTCTAAGTTTTATATGAAATGGTGAAAACACAAGAAATGAAATACTCCATTAAGGAACAATAGACATATGGTCTACGCACAAAATATGGCAGCAGCAAATGTTGGTGCAGAGTGATGCATAAAAGCCAGCAAGTCTTTGAGCCTAAAAAATAATGTGCTACACTCCCTAACCACAACAATAGGGCTCAGTGCTCTAATGCTACAACAGAAGCACCCAAGATTTCATTTCTAATACCTGCATATTTCGTCACAGACAACTGCTCTAAAATGTTGCTATGACTAAATTTCTACCCCTGGTCTCCTGTTCCATTGAGCCGACAGGGAGAAACAGGCTGCAGTGGCAGGGTACCTAGTCAAGGTCTTCACATTAAGAAATACCACCAGTTTCTCTCAAGTTCTGATCCCAGTACTTTGCTTTTGGAAGTCAAGGGCTTGGGATCCTGCAGAAACTTGACTAGATTAAATTTAAGGTAATACCCTTCAATGCTCCACAAGAAATTAGCTTTCTCTCCCACGGTCTTGACTCTGAGGCCTAGAAAAGGCTTCAGAGGGTACCCTTTTTTGGCAACTCTCTGAGATTACGAAGCAGTCATACCTTCTTTCTTCCTGGAGTCATCATAAGCCATGGTGGTCCTGCAGAAGCCTGAGAATGTGTTGCCACGTCTGGGCTCCTTCCCTCGTTCCCGTCTACAGGAAAAGGTCTGAGAAACAGAGAATGAAAATAACCCTCCCAGAAAGAAAGATCATAATGGAATATGGGAAATTTCCTATGAAACCAAAAGAAGATTCTCTGGAAGACAGTGGGAAAGGAAGGGAATCTATCTGCTGGTCTGTTCATGCTCATATTTCAGGTTTGACCAAAAAAAAAAAAAGTTTAATTAACTGAACAATTAACTGAACATTATGGGAAGCTGTTTTTCTCTTATTTTTAAAAAGATGTAACAACATAACCTCTTCTTTGTAAAATCGCCACATCATTGAATGAATTTATTTTAAAAAGCATAAAGAGTGTAAGAAAATAGCTAAGTTTGATTTTTAAATGAAACAGGAAATTGAAAGAGAACTTGTGTCAAGATTCTTTTTGTTAGGAAACACTATGGCAAAGAGTGGGATGATTAAAGAGGAATTCCAAACCCTTGAATCTCAGATGAAGTGAAGGAAAGGAAGAACCCAGGCAGGAATCACCATATCTTAAAAGAAACAGTTCAGATGTTTTGAACTAAATAATTGAAGATTTTGGAGTGAAGATGTTTGAAGATGTTCACCTTTTTGGTGTATTTCCAGACACTACCACTGCAGCCATTCTAAGTGTCAGCTTGGGAGAGGGAGCAGAGGAAAATATATTTTTTTTTTCTTGGGACTTTTGCTGCACCCTTAGGCCCTATCAGTTCACCAAATTTCAGGTCTCTCTTAATCAAGTCATTCTATTCTACAGCTGCTGGTATATAGAAAGACAGCGCTGCTATGGAGTAGTTGCACTCTAGTTCTCTCAAGAGCTCTTCAGTCAATGACCAGTTTAACTTGGGAAGAGTGACCTTCTAATAATCCAATTTGCACTTAGAAGTGAACACGTGTGTGCATACCTGCATGCACATCCACAAGTACTCAATCACAGAGACCATGCAGCGAGGTCTGCTGCTAGCTGATATGGCAATCTCTGCACGCTTGCTACACTTGAATACGTTTAGCACAGGGAACTTGTCTTATATACTCGTTTGGTATCCCTGCACATACACAGATTTTATAAACAACTGCCTGATGCTAAAATACATAAAGTATATCTGTCACATCATGGTTTCTTAAGTGAGACAACAGAGCTCCAAATAATTCAAGCTTACAAGTACACAGGAGATATTTTTAAAAAACTCATAAGGATACAAGTTAATTCTTCAGTTCTCTTATATTTGGGAAAGCCATCAACCACAATAATTTTAAAAAAGGGCATTCTGACCACTATAAGGTGTTGCTAGTAAACATAGCAATTTGTAAGTAGATTTTATGTACGCACATGGCAGCATTGTGTTTTTTTTTTTTTTTTAAATCCCCTTGCCACGTTATGAGCTCACAGTCTTGGACTAGATGTTGCAAACATTTCAAAATTTCCAGTTCTCTGCTGTCACACAGACTTCAGTGGGATATAATAGTAAAGCCTTGGGCTCAGAACCACTAAGGCTTCACCTGGACGCTGCTCAGCAAAAACAGAAGAGGGTCACTCATGAGGGAAAGACACTAAGAAACCAAGATTTGTTTACACCCATATGCATATATTTTGCCATCATTTTATTAAAATAGCCAAGTTATCTGGCAGGTAGAGAAGTCAGTAAATAACATCCTTGCCCCAAATGGCTTATAATCTAGACTATTAATGCTACAAATATAAAGGTTTTTTTTTTCTTTCTTTCTTTTTACAAATTCTGATTGGTTTGCGCGTTCTTAGGCTACAGAAACCAGGCAGCCTTGGGGGGCAGGGTTCTCGGAGCCTCCGGGTCCGTAAGACGGGGGCTTGGTGCAGCGGTATCACGCCCCGAACCCCAGGGCGCTCCCACGTTCCAAGCCTCCGCGCGGGTCCTGCTCCAGGCCCCGCGGGCGCCAGACGAGGCTGCACGGAG